CTGGGGAAGGAGGACCCTGTGGGCTGCTATGGAGGGAACCCGGGCATGGTGAAACCAAGTATGTCATGCAGCTTCCCAGCCCTGTGCCTTCCCCATAAATGGCGCTAGTTTAATCCCTTGAAATGATTGAATTGCATCCCCTAAAATAAGTGTTGTAAATACTTCTCCCCAAAAACCAAGGGTTGCATTGTATGCCTCCAAAAATATGTGTCATGTGTCTGCATGGCCAGGCTGTGGTGAATGGAATTATCCTGTGTGTTGTAAGAGGCAGTGGTGTGACAGTGTAATCACCTCCTCTGATGTGATCCGAGGTGCGCTCAGCCAGTCAGCTGTGAGGGAATCTGGGTGGGTTGCAACACCCTAAATCAGTGATCTGGTAAAAGGGGAGTTTACCAGGGTGTGGCTAGTGACGCCTTTTTCTCCTAAGAGGTTAAAGAGAAAGGAATCAAGCAGAGAGAAGGCCTCACTAACACCAGGACAAAGGACCAGGGCTGGACCATGTCCTGTAGACCCAATTCCCTGGCTGGTTCTTTACTCAGGAGAAGACCAGGATGTGTGGAGACCTCCAAGGAATGCCAGGCCTACAGATGCTGGAGGAGATGAGGGCCTTCCTCCAGAACTGGCACAAAACACCCTCCTCTAGTACCGATGCCCTAAGCCTGGACTTCCCGCTCCTAAAACTGTGGAAGAATAAAGTGCTGTCTGTGGAAGTCATCGGCTTATGGGATATCTCTGAGAGAGCACCACCAGAGATCTAAGGCACCAAGATAGGAACCCCTGCACAGAACAGGCTGACTCCTGCTTCATGAACATCGTCCCCAGGTGCTGACAGAAGGACCCACAGACGCAAATGCCTGAGGAGTCAGCTTGTGGAGGGCAGGGCTCTGTGTGAACTGAGACAACGCGGAGCCTGCAGAGCTCAGCTTGGGAAATGAGGCCACTGGACACGGTGCATGCTTCTGCACGGACTTCTCCTGAAGTGGGCCCTGGGCTCCTCTGCGCTCACCCTCGCGCCTCCTTCACTCTCAGCCTGCTCCGTGTTCTGCAGGGATTGCTGCTGCTAAAAATGACCCCGCTCCCACTCAGAATCTGGAAGAGGCTTGCAGAGGAGGAAAGAGAAAGGGGGAGTTTTGAGCTGATAAATGCACTTGACCTACACGGCTTTCAGAACTCGAGGCCTGATTAGCAAATGATGGGAGACGGCAGGGCTGCATGGTGTTCAGGACGATGCCTCTTAAGTGTTGCGGTGCCATGGCTGACGGTGTAATTGTAGGGGAAATCAGGGATAACTTTGATCATTAGAAGAGCAGAGAGAATACTAGGGAAGGGAGCAGGGTTCTTTCTCATTGGCTCACGCAGGAACCAGTTATCTGCCAAGCCTTGTGCTGGTTTCTGGGGAAACGAAAACAAGTCAGGCCTGCTTGCTGTACTCATCGCCTCTGTCTGGCAGCGTGTGGCACCGCGGTGGTTTGCATGCTGCCGCGATGCTGCAAGCTACGCCACCAGTATTTCTGATACCAGCAGAGTCACCCAGAGCAGAATGGTTCTGCAGAGCTGCCAGACTAAGACTAGGAAGAAAGGTCTGGTAATTTACTTCTGAAAATTCATCAGTGTATATCTTATAGTTCACACCTTCCTCCTTTTGTACGTGTCATCAGGAGAGAGGGGACATCATGTTTGGTGAAGGATAGGTTCAGCAAGCTCATGGGAGACCCTTGGTGAGCCTGGCTATACATTGGCCACCAGATGACTTCAGACATGTGACATTGGGCGGCTGAATCAGGACCAGGCAGCATTTGATTCTGTTGTCCACATGCCATGAGTGCTGCCCCGGTAGTACAGTAGATAAGATGCTTGGCTGCTAATTGAAAGGTCAGTGGTTCAAAGTCACCAGTCTCTCTGCAGAACAAAGAAGAGGCGGTCAGCTTCAGTTAAGATCACCACCTTGGAGATTCTAGGGGGCAGGTCTCTTATGGGTTGATGACACCGACTCTTTGGGCAAGTTGCTGGGAGAGGCTATTCCTTGAAGAAGGACATCATGCTTGGAAAGGTGGAGAGTCTGCAAAAGAGAAGCAGCCCAGTAGAGTGACACGGTGATTACAACAATGGACTAAGCGTATCAGGGGTTGTGAGGATGGCCCAGGATGGGGTATGGTTCAAATATGTTGTTCATAAGCTTGTTATGGGTTGTGCTTGACTCAACACCTACCAACAGCAGCATTGGCAATGGTTACGGGTGTGTTTTGGATCTAAATTGATTGCAGGTTCTGGTGGCCTAGTGGCAAGAAGTTGCACTGCAATCCCGAAGGCACACGGTTTGAATCTTCCAGATGCTCTGAGGGAGAAGGATGGTCAGTCTTTTCCCGTGCGATTAACTGCTTCAGAAAACCCACTGGAGCTGTGGGCAGCTCTGGGCTGAAGGTGAATTTAGAAGTTGACAGCCCGTAGGTAAGAATTGGAGCTGCCGCCATACAGGAGGTGACCGAGGAAGAGCGGAGAAGTGAGGGAAGCTGAGAGCAGCCCTTTTTTCTGAGGAGGCTCTGAGTGGCTTTGAGACCCTGCCCTTGTGATCAGCCGCTCGTGTTACGCATTTCTATTAAGTGGATCTGACGTGGAGCTGGGGCAGCACCATGTAGTGCTTCCTTCTGGGTGTCCTTCTGGGTGTGTGTGGTCATCACAAGTTGGGGGTTCACTTGATGGTGGTTAACAAGAAGTCACGACGTGATGCTGCTCGAGATCGGGGCACCCTGCCCTTTTCAGACTCAGCCGTGGAGCTAAGCTGTGGGTTAAGTTGACGGACTTCACCTCCCAATCCCCAGCTTCCTCCTCTGTCGAATGGGGGTGATGACACTGGCTTCCTCATAAGGCTAAGGCGAGGAGGCCATGAGCAGTGCAACATGTGAGTGCTTCCAGCCATTTCTGTCACCTAACGAGTTGCTGTCAGGAGTTTCCAACTCCTCGTGACCCCACGTGTCTCAGAATAGAGCTGTATTACATCACGTCCTCAGATGTTCTCCAACGTGACCACCAGGCCTTTCTTCCAAGGTGCCTCTGCATGCTTTAAAACTGCTAATCTTTTGGTTGGCAGCTGACCGCTTAGTCTATTGTTCCACCCACAGGATCTGAGGACCCAGCTGGGCGAGGTTGAGTGTGTGTTGTGTGCTGTGTGCCCACATGGTGCCCACACTGATGAGTAACAGACTGAGACTTGGCTGCTGCCCCACCAGGCCCCGGGTGACTGGTGGGCTCTGTGTGAGGGATGTGGAGACCCTTCTGGGTGTGCCCTCCCCCTGGGGAATAAATGACATGACTCCAGCTTGCTGCTAGGAGCCTGTCAGTAATATTCCAGCCTCGCTGGCAGCAGCCAGAAATGAATTCACAGCCTCTTGGTAAAAATGAAGCCGCGTGATCAATGGCTCCCTGGGCAGCCTCCTCGAGGAGACAAAACGTATATTGTAACAAAACTTTATTTTCTCCTGAAAATTGCCTACATGATTAATACAGCCCGACACAGCTCAAGCTGCTCAGCATAAAAAGCGCCCTTCTTGCTGGGCAGCTCTCGGGCGCTGTGTCTCTGTGTCCCTCTCATCGTGCTGTATATCCTGCCAGTGAGGCGTGAGGAGGGGAATGCGTCACCAGGTGGACCCCTGTTCCGTCTGGCTCAGTTTCTGCTGGGTATTTCCAGTGTGCCTCAGGCCGAGTGTGAAGTACGTTTCCCCCGGGGGCGCCTGCACGGAGTGGAGGCGCCCTGTGCCTGAGAAGAGCTGGTTCCATGGTGCTGCTTCCTCTCACATCGCTTGGATTCCCAGACACTGGGAGGGCCATGTGCTCCCATCCTGGATGCGTGCATGCTCACCTTGTGTCTCCATCTCCAGGGATGCGGATGCGGGAATTGCTTGGATATTAGGACATTGGGGCAGGCAGTCTCAGCTACTCGGAGGGGTTTAAGGTGTGCTAAGTTAGGCCTGGAATGTACCATGGATTGCCAAGAAAACAAACAGATTCATCCTAGAGAGGGTTAAACCAGGCTACTCCTTGGAGGCAAAGATTCTGGGGCTTCGTCTGACATACTTTGGACATGTTTTAAGGAGAGACAGGTCTTTGGAGAGGGACATCATGCTTGGTAGGGTGGAGGGACAGCGCAGGAGGGGAAGATCCTCTATGAGGTGGATTGATTCAGTGACTGGGGTAATCGGGATGGGTGTGTCAGAGGCAATGAGATTGGCACAGGATAGAGCAGGGTTTAGGGCTGTTGTACATAGGGTTGCTATGAGTCGCAAATGACCCGACGGCACATAACAACAACAACAAGTTAGGCCTTAGCTGATGAGTTGTTGTTGTTGTGTACCATCGAGTCAGAGCTGACCCGTACCTGACCCTCCAGAGAGGTTTCCGAGGCAGCAGTTGCACGGGAGGAGAGGACCCATTCATTCTTCATTCTCCCACTTGGTTAACAACAGGCAGTTCTTGTTTTTACTGCATTTTACTTTGTTGCTCTGCAAAGACGCAGCATTTTTTTTTCTAAATTGAAAGTTTATGGAAACCCCAAGTCACTGGTGGCCTCGCAGGTAAAGAGTTGTGCTGCCAACCCAAAGACTGGCAGTTCTGATCCACCAGCTACTCCGAGGGAGAAGTTGGGTCGTCTCTTCCCAGATGGTTTACAGTCTCTGAAAACTTTCCAGAGGGTCAGCTCCGAGTCAGTTTGGACTCAGCTGTAAGGAACGTGAGTGTGGAATCTTTGATCCAACTGTTCAGGAATGGGAACCGGGCACCATCCAGTTCTTCCAGTCTCATGGCGGAAGAGACAGCTTCTTACTGCGGCAACTCGCCGTGTGTGTGTTACTCCCTAGGGCTTCCCCTCTATTCTTAGCCAGGAAGAGGCGACGCGGGAGCTGGTGAAGGATTTCTCAGGGGAGCTGGTGGATCGCCTGACTAGAGTGGTTTCTGCTCCCGTCCAAGCGCTCTGCCTTTGTTTCCCTGACTGTGCTCTCTTCCTGCAGGTGCAAGGAGCTGAAATACTCCAAGGACCTGCCCCAGATCTCCATTATCTTCATCTTTGTGAACGAGGCCCTGTCGGTGATCCTGCGATCTGTCCACAGCGCTGTCAACCACACGCCAACACACCTGCTGAAGGAGGTCATTCTGGTGGATGACAACAGTGACGAAGGTAGGGGCTGGGGGCTGCCTGCTGGCAAACTTCTCAGAGAGGAAGGGGCCAAGGACGTGAGGATGGGGATGAAGGGGCGTCCGCCCACTCCAGCACACCCCCCAGTGTCGTCTTCATCTCCTGGTCCCTGGAGTGGATCTGGACAGTGGAGACTGTTTTAGAGGACGCATGACACACACCGGTGCATGATTTCCTCAGTTCTCTAGGGCTTTTACGAGTAAATTAGTGTTCCATATGTAGAGTCATTTCTTATTTTAAGTTACCTAAAGTGGAGGCCCTGGGTGGTACAAAAGATTAATGTGCTTGTTTGTGAACAAGAAGGTTGAAGGTTCAAGGTCACTCTTAGGTGTCTCAGAAGAAAGAGCTGGTAATCTGCTTCCCAGCCTGTGGAGTCAGTTCTAAATCAGAGGAACTGAGATGGACAGTGGCTGTCCCTCAAGTTTATCAGGCTGTCATCTTTATGGGAGGAGACTGTCTGTCTTCCTGCCGCAGAGAGACTGATGGGCTTGAACCAGCAGCTATCACAAGCACTGCAAAGAGCGTGGTCAAGTGATTATCTCAGCTGGTCCTTAAAGTAAATGCCCCTTGGTGCCTCCTCTCCGTCCAGGCACTTACGAGAAGGACGCCGCTGTGTTAAACACTAACTCCCCCTCCCCTCTCATTCCTCCACTCGAACCCCGATATTTCCTCCAGCTTCCTAAGTCCCTTCTCTTTAAGTGCAAGAGGGAGCTAGGTTTTGATGGGGGTTTTCTTTGTGACTTTGTATTACTGAGTTGTGTAAATGTTCTCTGTGTATTTGAAAAACCCCACACACACTGTAATCATGGAATTGAATTCCTGCCAGACATCAATTTTGTGTATTTAGGCAGGCGATGAGTTTATTTTCTTAAAATCTCTGTGATGATGGTGTTTTAAAATCTCCTCCTGGAATGACTGTCCTTCCCTGTGTCCCTAATAATGTGATTTCTGCGTCGTCTTGGCAGTTTCTTTGGCAGCTGTATATTTGTGTCTGAACACTGGCGCTATTACCTGGGGTTGTTACCCTTATGCTAGACTCCTTTGTCTTGGAAGCATACACTGGGGGTTCCCCCCTGCCCCAAGTTCCACTTCTTCTGACATGCATAATGTTATTCTGCCCAAGCTTGATTAAAACATTTTGTCCAATCTTACCATTTGTATTTTTCTGGTGATCTTAAAAATAAGACATGGTCTTTATGGCAAATGTTGGATTTTATAAAGAGCAAATGTAACTGGGGGGAAAACAGATACTGAGAAGACTGGCCAGAGGCACCTGCACATTGGTCCATGTCTGAACCCTCTTTGACATTTTTAAGATCATGTGATAATAAACAAATAAATGTCCTGCTTTCTCCTTTCTGTACTATAAAGCTTCATTATTTCCTATTTTGTTTTGGGGAAAAAAGTGCTTTGTAAATATCACTGTGCTGGAGGCAGATGGTCCACCCTGAGGTTGTGCCATCTCCTGGCCACGCCTGGCCGAGACTCTGCTGGACCAAGCCTGGTGGGCGGGGCGGTGGAGACGGGGAGGCTCCGATTGTGCCTTTCTCTTGTTCATGTTTCCTCTTTGTTTCCCAGTGACTCATTTCATTCTGCTTGGAGTTTGAGTCCTGGTGGTGTAATAGGCTAAGTGTTGGGCTCCTAACTGAAAGATTGGCAGTTCAAACCCACAAACTGATCCACGGGAGAAAGATGAGGCAGTTTTGCTTTCAAAAAGATTTAGATTAGCTTAGAAATGGGGTGTAAATGGCCCCGAGCAGGAGCTGACTCAGTGGTGGCTGGATTTGGTAGAGCAAGCCCATGTGCTCTAAGGCGTAGTAGGTGAGTGTTGGGCTGCCAACTGAATCATCAGCGGTTCAAATCCACTGGCTCCTCCTTGGGAGAAAGGCAAAGCGTGCTCCTTCTGTAAAGACTTAACAGCCCTGGAAGCCCACCGGGACAGTTCCCCTCTGCCCCGTGGGGCTGTGTGTGTCTTCTGAACACATGCTGAGTGAGCGTGCCCTTGCCTGTCCACATGTGGAGACGGTATGCTTTGGTTCAAGCCATTAGCATGTCCCCCCTTGGACTTTGGGGAGCTGAGATAGGGGGACATGGACCAATCCCTGACGTTCCCATCATTGACTCACAGAAGAAACCCTCTGCAGTGCAGTCAGTTTCCCCCACTCACGTCAGAGTCGACCTGCCCTGCAGGCTTTCTAAGGGTGTGAGTCTTTTTCTTAAAAAAAATTTTTGGGGGGAGCTCTGGTGGCCTAGTGGCAAGACGCTGCACTGCAATCCCAGAGGAACATGGTTCGAATCTACCAGATGCTCTGCCGGAGAAGGAGGCGCAATAGCCTCCTGTACCAGTCAGATCTGATTTGACGGTACACGCACACAAAATAATAAAAAGAAAAATTTTAAAAAAATTGTATTATTTTACATGTAGCATCAAATCAGATCTGTCTGGTACAGAAGGAGATTGCCCCCACCTTCTCCAGCAGAGCATCTGGTGGATTTGAACCACATACCTCTGGGATTGCAGTGCAGCGTCTTGCCACTAGGCCACCAGAGCTCCCAGAGGGTGTGAGTCTTGACAGAAGCAGCCTGCCTCAGCTGTCTCTTGTGGAGCAGATGGTAGACCCTTAGTTACTGGCTTTTCAGTTAGAAGCTCAGCTCTTGAGTTACTACCACCAAGACCCCTAATTTTCTTTTTAAAAATAAAACTAAGATTCATATAAAATGTACACTTTTTAAATATGCAGTTGAACAATTTTTGGTATATTCATTTTCCTTGATCTAATTCCAAAGCATTGCGTCTCTGCAAACATTTCTAGAGTCCTTGCAACCACTCCCATTCCCTCCAGTCTTCACCCTCGTCACTGGGCAAAGCCTCACCTACCTTTACTCTGTGAATTTGCTCTCTGTAGAAGGAGAATTGATGCCTTTGAGCTGTGGTGCTGGAGAAGGGTATTGAATATACCATGGACAGCTAGGAGAACAAACAAGTCTGTCCTGCAGAGTGAAACCAATCAGCTCCTTGGAGGCAAGGATTCTGAAGCTCCGTCTGACATACTTTGGACATGCTGCAAGGAGGGACCCAGCCTTGGAGAAGGACACCATGTTTGGGAGGATGGAGGGACAGCGCAGGAGAGGAAGACCCTCGATGAGATGGATTGACTCAGTGACTGGGATAATGGGATAGGTGTGTCAGAGACAATAAGGTTGGCCAGCATACAGCAGGGTTCAGAGCTGTTGTCTGTTGGGTCATAATGAGTCACAACTGTCTCGACAACACATCGTAACAACAGCCATGCACTGAGCCTGTATACCAGTAGGGGGATTATCACCATCCTGTCTAGCTTTCAGGTGCCTGGGAAGCATCTGGAAGTTGGACAGTGAATGAAGACGACAGAAGAAGAGTCGATGATGACTGAATCGTGGCGTTGGCAAGGAGTATTGAATATACAACGAGCTACCAAGAGAACACACGCGTCTGTCTTAGAGGAAGTACAACCAAGGTGCTCCTTAGAGACAAGGATGGTGAGACATTGACCCACAGACTCGGGCCATGTGGTCAGGAGGGGTCAGTCCCTTGGGAAAGGACACCGTGCTTGGACAGGTAGAGTCCGAGGAGAGGAGGACCTCCTAGGAGGTGGATTGACACAGTGACTGCAGCGGTGGGCTTGCGCACGGCGGTGACCCTGAGGACGGCACACGGTAGGGAAGGGTTTCCATCTGCGATACACACGGTCATAGGAGTGCGAGCCGACGCGCTGGCATCTAACAACAGCAACAAGATCGTGTCTCTGTGACCAGAGATCATTTCGTTTCTTCATTCTCAACGTGAATTTGTTTCATTTCTTCTTATTACCTTAGTGCCTTATTTATCTTTAAAATATATTTATTAAGCACTTCTTATTTTGTCTTAAGAAGAGTGCTTGCCTGAGAGTGTATCAAACCTCTTCTGGAGACCAGCAAGTGCATGAGTGAGCCTGGGAGACCTGGACGTCCAGCGGGGCCATTCTGTGTCCCAGGCCCTGGATACAAGGCTGTGACACTTTGGCCAGGTGGAAAGGGCTACTCTCTACCTTCTGCCTCTCATCGCTTCATGACCTCCTGCCCACTCTGGAGAATGGGTCAAAGCTAAGCTTATTTGATGGGTGAAATGACTACCAGGAGCTCGTCCAGGCAGCAGGCTTGGCTAGGAACTCGAGCTCAGTCAGCAGGTGCTTGGAGCATCCAACAGTCTGTAAGAATAGAGGCCCAGCTTAGCCAATTGAACCCCAGCTGGAAATGGTTCGTTGGCAGAACAGACAGACCTCTCATTGTGCTTCGCTGTATTGTGCTTCACAGATGCCGTGTGATTTGTTACACGTTGGAAGTTTGTGGCAGTGCTGCGTCCAGTGTGTCTGTCTGTGCCATGTCCCCAGCAGCATGTGCCCCCTTTGTCTCTCGTGTCACATTTTTTCCAGCTTTCCCCTTCTTCCTATAGTTGCACACTTAATGGACTGCCAAGCCAAGCCCACTACCATGTGGTTTGTGGAGACCCTCCAGTGAGTTTCCGGGGTGTGACTCTCACGGGAGGAGCTTGACCATTTCTTGCAGTGGCCCTGGTGCTATGTTAACATCGGGCTCCCTAGATTAATCCTACAGGGTTCCTGTCTAGTCCCTGCCGTCTTATAATGGTATTTTTTTATTTTTGCTTTTGGAGCTGTTCTACTTTTCCCTCCACTCCTTTTCCTCAGTTATTATTATGGTTTTATTTCTGCTGTTGTGGTTTTCTTTCCAAATGCTCATTTTCATTCTCTGAAAGTTTCTCCCCCAACACACACACACACACACACACACACACACACACACACACACACACTGCTCTTAATTCATGGAAGCAAGCAATATGTTCTCTTAGCCTTTAGAGGATATTAATAATTTTCTGTTTTCCTCCCCCGCAGACTCTATTTCTACAAGTTGTTGAGAGTTTTGGGTGGAGTTCTCACTTTATT